ATAACCAACAATCATTCTATTTTTGTACAAAAAATAATTTTGCATAAAAAGCACACGTTTTATTGTAAAAATTTTAATTTTAAAATAAACCTATTAATACGTCATGACTTCTTTTGGGGACTAATATAATTAGGTTTTTGAAAATTACAGTAGGATTTAAACATAATTAATTTAATAATGAGTTTACTTCAGATTTTCATGTTTTTCTGTATACAATAATTAAGTTGATTACACACTCAAATGAAAAAGATTTTAAAAAAATTAAGTAACAACCTTCATTTGATAGGAATATTGTTTATTTGTTTAATTAGTAATTAATTAGTATTTAAAATATTATAATTTATAATTAATACACTGGATGGAATTTAATTTATAAATTAATCGTTTAGACATTTATATTTTAAGTATACAATCAGTTGTAAAAATCAAAATAATTTAATATTCAATACAATGTGTGTTCTGTATTGTAGACAACGAAATATTAACAAAACAATAATTACAAACAATTAAATCATTTATTGTTTAAAAGTCCGGCATTTGCTGTAAGTCTGCAAAGAAAATGCATTTGAATTTTAATATTCAAATCATTGAAAGCTTTTGTTTTAAACACATCTTCAAAGTGTTTGACCGCATAATTGAAACATATTTCTTGAAGTGCGGACTCCGAGTGTTTAACAGCCGCCTCATATATTAGGGCCACGGTTTCAATGGTAATGCCTTTACGTAAAAGTCGAGTACACTTTCGCTTGAGGTCTGTCTCGGCGTAAGTATCGGCTAAACCTAATAACTCGACCCATATCTGAATCCCAATATCCGGCGCCACAAACACATCGTTAGTATAAAGATATCACAGAAATGCTTTGAATGCCTCATAAGAATAGTTTGTTAACTATTTATAAAATAATAAATTAGAATATTGTATATTTTGATTAACATATAATAAATACATATAAAACTGACCACAACTTGGGTTTGATTGGTGTCTAACAAACGCATCATTGGTTCCATACGTTTGCAGCGTATAATCAAATACTCTTTGATGACATGAATGGGCTGTCCGTCGATCACAAACCGGAAATTAGATGATATGGTATTGTCGAAGGCGTTGCACATACTAGTGAGCACCGGGTGGTCGTCGTCGGCGATATTCATTGGTATCGAGCGATACGTTGCGTGTGATTTGTCATACATTCCAAAGACATCATATATTGATTCAAAATTCATTACATCTAATTAGATATAAATTTAGTAAATAAATTATTTTAAAATATGTTTGCATTAGAAATGGTTAAACAGTTACCAATAGGATTTATAAAATGTCCGATCGGTTCCCGACATTCGCCCCATAAATAAAGCACTCCATTAGCCGTAACGGCCGCTGAAATATTGCTGTTCACGTGTGAAACCACATCCACAATAATGCCATAATGATTGATGTTTACTTTGAATGAATCACTCCTAGTAGTCTTATCACCGGTTCCTAATTGATCATGATTATTGTATCCAAATGTATAAACACTACCATTGGTTGATAATATTATTGTATGGCACATTCCAGCAGAAACTTTGGCCACTTTCATGTCTTTGAAATAGTGAATCTGAACGGGCAATAATTGGTTGGTTATATTTTTCAATCCCAACTCACCATGACCATTGTAACCCCTATTATTATTGTGATAATAAAAATGAGTTGTAATTGTAAATCAATACTCTCTGCCATACCATCCAAACACACTCCCGGTGTCCGTAACGGCCAGTGAATGATATCCACCGCAAACAATGGATTTTACGTGATAATTGTCCAGATCTCGATATCTTCCCGAGTCCACAACTCGAACTCCGGATCCCATTACTTTAATAGGTGTCGATTGATTAGTAGTATTGCCATTACCTATTTGACCATGGCCATTACAACCCCAGGCGTACACCTGTCCGGCATCGGTCAACGCCATTGTATATCTAAAACCGCATTCAATGTCAACAATCTTTTCATTATTTAAATTGAATGACATTTTCAACGGAAGTGGAGATGAAGCAGTATTTCCGGTTCCCAACTGTACTTATAATATAAATTAATAGACATTTTTAAATAGACATACAGCTTTTAATTTTATCATTATTTATTGTAATTTAATGAATATACGAAACATTTTGAAACAAATACGAAACAAATATTGTATTAATGGAATTAAGAAAATACCTGATAATACTTATTATCGCCCCAATTATACACATCACCGGTCGAAGTGAGGGCACAGACATGACTCTCTCCGGCAACGATTTTGATGACACCCTTTGCCTTCAATTCAGACAATTCAGTAATTTGTGTGATATTATTGACATTCATATGAAAGACCACATCATCTTTGGTCACAACAATCACTTCATTTCCTGTCTCTCCGTATATAATGAATGAACTAATGTTTTGCACAAACTCTTCGTTCATTAGACTAAAAACATGCCATTTGTCTGTAGAGACAAATTGCTGTCTTCGTTCAACAGATCCCAAGTCTTCATTTGCAGCCATTTTCCAGTCCTTTGTCTCAAACAATACTTTTTAAAATATGAAAATAATTTTCATTTAAACACTCGTTATGTTATTATATTTGTCTAATAAGTTGAATGCAATTGATTTCATTTTTCGGTGTAAATTTTATTGTAAAATGATACTCAGTTACCAACGATTTTACATTTATTATATAAACATTTTATATATTAATAATAACTTGTGCAGTACTAAATGTGTACAATATTATATTACAAAATTGGAAATATATTACTTTATAATCTGGCTGGAAAATGAATCAATACTTAACTATTTCAGCTATTATTTCTAACAACATTTTTACACTATTAGCTCAATCAAAATAGTCGTTTAGGGAGTAAAATAATCTTTTAATACTATAATAAGATTTAACGGTCTTTTGTGGGAACAAGTGATGCAATGATATAACTTATATTATATAAGGATTACCATTGGATTGGATTAACGGATTTGTTATGTGTATTATTTATTATTAATGAGAATATTTCAAAGAAAAAATTGATAAAAATATTTTTATTAAAATTAATAATTAAAAATAAAAAGTTTTTATAAATTTACACAAATATCAAAAATATATATTTTTAACTTTTGTTAGAAATACAAAAGTGATTGCAAATACATAAATGCTATAATGTTTCTATGGATAATGTTTTGCAAAATTATTATCAATTTTATTTGAAACCGGATTATAATAGTATGGAAAAGGGCTCATAATATCCATCTCCTCTGCCGGACAATAAACTCTCAACGCTTCCCAACATTTGCCTATTAATTGCAATTTATATTTTATATTTACTTAATTATAACGAGTATTAAAACTTACAGTAAATGATAATCAATGCGAGAAATGAGTAGAAAAGTACAAAAAATAACACAATTGCCAGAAACTCGTACACCGTGGTAATTTCCATTATTTTATTTTATTAGTTTGCTTAATTAATTTTAATCATATATAATTTTTAATAGTTTCTAGACTTTATTAAATAATGCACTTAATAATAATGCTAACAAGATATTTATCTCAAATTTACAAAAAATTCATAAAATCATTTATTTTCAAAGTATTTAAGTTAATTCAAAATATTTATTGATTGTCATTTTATAGATGTATAACCTTGTTAATCCTAATGCAGTCTAATTGTCGTAGATGCTAGAATAATGAAAGTGTTTAGTAATTATGCTATTAAGGTAAACATGCTAATTTACTGCTAATAATTATGATCATACAAGACGTCATGCCTGGTGTAAAAGTAAACCTCGATGAATATTAAAAATTAATATTAATAATTAATATAAGACCTTCTAGATTACAGCTATAACCAGGACTAATGACTTGTAATAAAACACTATTGATAATAAAAGAGCAAACAACTACTGTAATTAACTGATTTAATTTGAAAAGTATTTCATCCATGCTAATTATTGCATGATATATGCAATTTAATAAGGATCAAGGCAAAATTGTAAATAAAATTATCAAATATAAAACAAATTTACAAAAAAACATTTTATTACAGTTCATTACAGCAAACAATTTCAAACAATAATAACATTTAATATAATACTTTAAAAACATTTCAAACATATTAAGTTTTGCGCAACTTTAATAAAATTAAAATACAACATAAAATAATAATTTCAATTTTATCATGATTCATGACACATCAATTTTGGTTTAGGATTTCAATGAATATAAAACAAAACATTTAACTTTTGTACAAATAATTAACTAATGATTTACACTAAAAAAACTAATAAATCTGTATTTATAAATTGTAATTAAAACTCACATTTCATTTAATTAATTACATAAGTCATATAAAAAAATACTATATAAAAAACAAAAAACTATTTAACAAGTTTAACCAAAATTTCTATTCCAGTACTGGCTATAGTTGGGCCACACAGGGAGGGGCTGTCCATTATTACCATTATAATCAGCATAAGCCTTAGGGGCAGACCTCGACTCCTGTGCCCACATATCTCTCATACGTTTATTATTTGCAAAATAATTTTTATACTTTAACTCATTATTACCCACATTATTATCATTGGTATTAACCCGTTGTCCACCAGCACCTCCACGACCCCCACCAGTCCCACACTTGGGCGACACCAATGCGGGCCAATTGCACATACCTTTGCCGGTGTCAAAGTGCAGGCCTGGAGGGCAGGCAAACTCGTGGCGCCTCATTGTGCCCCCGGTGTTATCGCACCGGTAAAATTTACCACAATCTCTCTGGTCTCTCACATAGCCTTCGTGAGTGCATTTTGCTGCCCCGTTGGACACAACCGGCACCGCTTGTCCACTGCCAACACGGCGTTGAGGTCTAAGTAGTTGTTTGGCGGCCCTGTGTTGGGACTCCTGGGCCTCAAAGTCCTGGTTCTGGCGCTGTTTGGGAGGGGTTTTGAGGCCACCGTTCAGTGCCTTTGGCTGCCTCTGGCGTTGAGTCGGCGGTCGGCTATAAAAGGGTCGCTGTTTTTGGGGCGACGTTCGCTGCGAAGCGCCGGTAGTTTTTCTCGCCGACGGTGGAGCCGGTGGTGGGGGTTGTCGTTGACCCGATTTCTGGGCACTCTTGGTGTTGGCTTTGAGGCGCTCGTTAGGCCGCGCACTGCCGGCACCGGCGGCTGAACCGCCTTTGCGTTGCTCTGCCGGCGCTTTCGGCACAGATGTAAGCCTTTCCTTATCATTGGTTTTACTGGTTGTTTGCGGTCTCGGATTGAACGCCGGTTTGCGTTGCGAACGCTGTGGCGATGGCTTGCCTTTGGCCGGCGATCTCATCGGCTCCGGTCGGGAAGTGTTGGGAATTTTCGGACCACTTTTGGTTGGACTTTTTGCCGCCGGTCTTTTCGCACCGGCATTACTGGCGCCGCCCTTTTGGCCCCCTTTTGTTTGTTGTTGTGGTGGCGGCCGGGGGTTAAACGTTGGTTTACTTTTACCCCGATTATTGTCTTCGGCGGCGGTCTCTCTCATCGGTTCCTTAACGGTGTTTGGTTTGGGTTTTTGTCGGCCATTTGCGGCCACTTTTCCTCCATTTTTGGTGTTTTTCATGGGTTCAGACGGTTTTGATGGTGTTTTCTGACCACCTTTTGTCTGCCCTCTCGACGGTGGGGGCGGTCGAGGTCTGGACTGTGGCTTTGGCGCAGACTTTGTCGGACTTTTGACCCCCTGTGAGGCCGATGGCTGTTGTTGTGGTGTTTTTACGGCATCGGTTTGTGGGCTATTGTCATAGTCTTGTTGTTGTGATTGTGGTCGAGGGTTAAACTGTGGCCTATCCTGGTCTACACCTGAACTGTCCGTCTGTTCACCTATGGTTTGGTTTAGATTTTAAGTTAAGTTTAGATTTTTGGCTCAATTTTAATTTAGTTTAGTTTAGCACTGGTTTAGGGGTTATTATTATTATTATTATTATTTTGAATGTTTAGCTTATTGTTTTTAGCAAATGTTTAATTATTTAAAGCAGGCATAAGTTATTAATTATAGCCGTGGTAATAAATATGAATTTAATGTGTAGTTAGTTTGTTTTGTAATAATGAAATGAATGTTTTTATTAAAATTTTTAATTAAAACAAACAGAAAACACATTTATTTGTTATTTAAAAGCATATGATTTTGATTTTGAAACATACAAATGAAACCAATATTTAAAATTAATTTGTTATTTTTAATAGACATTAAAATTTAATAGCGGTTAATAATTTTGAATTAATTATAGAGAAATTAATAATTTTAGTAAAATAATTATTTATAAGATTGTAAACTAGATGTTTTAGCCAATGATAATTTTCTTATGATGTGAATAGTTCATGATAGTAAAATGTAAAAATGTTCATAGTAAAAATGTAGAATAAACAACATACAACTTACATCACTATAATAATACTTATTTAAAATGCCATGAATTTAATTAAACTGTGCCCCTTACCTTAAAATAGAAACCCATCATGGTATGAAACAATTATAACATAATACACTAATACAACGATAACAACATAAATAAAACTACAAATAAATACGACTATTAATAATGAAAATAAAAGTTTCATTAAAAAATAAAACCATAGGAAACATGTTATCAAGAGATTATCAAAAATAAATGTCAAAATTAATTAAAACACATTATTCATAATTTTTAAAAACATACATGATCAAAAATAGGAATATTATTGCAAAATTCAATTTAAAAATTCATTAATTGCGTTAATATTAATTAAGCAACAGCAAAAATTAATTGCATTATTAGTTTCATTATTAATATCTATAATAGTAAAAACCTTTGACGGGCTGTTGCTGTCTGTCCAGCGCCTGACTATCACCGGACACTTGTTGAGACTCTTGAGGGCTGTACTCAATGAACGGACTGTCATTATAGTCGGCTCCGGGAGTCTGGGGTTGCGATTGTGACGGTTGTGGCGGTTGTTGCTGTGGTTGGCGTTGAGCACCGGTGGGCGCACCGCACGGCGGGTACGCCTGTTGTGGCCAATTGCAGACACTATACCTTTCGTCAAAGTGGAGGCCATCGCCGCACCGGAAGTCAAACCTCGTTAATCCCAATTGATTGACGCACCGGAAGAATGCGTTGCAATCGTTGGGGTCGCGGAAGAAGCCCTCCTGAGCGCACTGGTAGCTCGAATTGGACACCGGCTCATCACCGCCACCACCATTGGGTTGCGACGGCTGGTGATGATGGTGTGGTGGCCTCATGTGCCGCTCTGGCACCGACTGCGCAAACTGGTCGTCGGGCCGGTTAGACGAGTCCACGTCCTGGTGCTGCTGCTGCTCCTCCTCCTGCTCTATGGGATACTGTGCCGGCGGTGGTCGGTGTCGGTCAGCGCCAGCTGTTTGGTGATCGTCGGTCGGCACCTGTTGTTGCTGTGGGTAGTCGTCGGGCTCTTGTTGTATGTGTTGCTGGACGTCATCGGGTGATGGCTGTGGCGGACGTCTGGGTCCGTCAGACATCTGTTGTTGGTCTAGTGGTAGCTGTTCTTCGGGCACCTGATCCACGTGTTGCTGTTGTATGGGCTCCTGTTGTTCGTCATCGCCGGTGCTGTCCATCGGTTGCTGTTGTTGTTGCTGTTCATCAGGTGCTCCGGGTTTTGGTTTATCACGCGATTCCGTGTCTTCGGCCGTCTGTTCCGGTTCTTCGGGCTCTTGCGGTGTCTGCTCTTCGGGCGACTGTCCCTCCGGTTGTTGTGCCGTCTGATCCTCTTTTTGCTGTTCCATCGGTTGCTCTTCGGCTTCCGATGAAGGGGTAGTCGACTTGGGTTTGGGTCTAAACGTCGGGCGTTGTGTCGGCTTTTGTGACGACTGGTCCTCCGATTGCTGTACAATGGGTTCCGCCTCTTCTTCTTCCTCATCGGCCGCAGGTGTGGTCGAAGTCCTCGTCTTTGCCGGCGATTTAGGCTTTGTCTGCGCCGCGGGTTTCAGTTTGTGACCGCCCTTTACGGGTGGTGTGGGTGTCGTCGATGTCGGCCCACTATCTTCTTCTTCGTCTTCGTGTTGATCCTCTTCCTGAACGATAGGCTTCGGCGTCTTCGATGTCTTTGACGGCTCCCGGAGTTTGGCTTTCGTGGACTTCGCCGACGCGTCGGTCGTATCGGTGGTCAAAGCGTCGGATTCGGTGGTCGTCTGGCCATCGGTGGACGACTCGGTGCTCGTCTCGTCCGGTGCTGTTGTCGTCGTCGTGTCGGAGCTCTTCTCACTACTCGTGGCTTCTGTGGACTCATCGGCCGCTGTTGTGGTCGAGG